CAATTACAGACTGGCCAGTCTAACTTCAGTACTGGGTAAATTGGTTGGAACTATAATGAAGAGCAGAATTGTCAGACAGAGATGAGCATAATTTGTTGGGGGACAAGTCAACATAGTTTCTGTAAAGGGAAGTCATGCCTCACTAATCTACTAGAATTCTTTGAGGGGGTCAATAAGCAGGTGGACAAGGGGAATCCAGTGAATAGAGTGTACTTACATTTTTAGAAAGCCTTTGACAAGGTCGCTTACCAAAGGCTCTTTAGCAAAGTAAGCTGTCATGATATAAGAGGGAGGGTCCTCTTATGGACTGATAACTGGTTAAAAGATAGAAAACATAGGTAGCAATAAATGGTCATTTTTTCAGAATGGAGTGAGGTGTTTGTAGGGATCTGTATTGAGACCAATCTGTTCAACATATTCAAACATAATCTGGAGAAAGGGATTAACAGTGAGGTGGCAGAATTTGTAGATGTCGCTAAACTGTTTTACATCAAGTCCAAAGCAGACTGTGAAAAGCTTCAAAAGGATCTCACAAAACTAGGTGACTGAGCAACAAAATGGCAGATTAATTTTAATGTTGATAAATGCAGAGTACTGCATATTGGAAAACATAATCCCAAATATATGTATAAAATGATGGAGATTAAACTAGCTATTACCACCAAAGAGAGAGATCTTGGCGTTCTTGTGGATAGTTCTTTGAGTAGAAGTCAAAAAGCAAACAGAATGTTAGGAATGATTTTAAAACGGACAGAGAATATCTTATTATCTCTGTATAAATCCATGGTACACTCACATCTTGAATACTGCATGCATATGTGGTTGCCTCATTTTAAGAAAGATAATATTCGCATTGCAAACAGTTCAGAAAAGAGCGACAAAATGATTAGGGGTTTAGAATGGCTGCAGTACAAGGAGAGATTAATAAAACTGGACTTTTCAGCTTGGAAAAAGATGACTAAGCGGGGATATGATAGAAGTCTATAAAATCATGACTGGTGTTGAGAAAGTAAATAAGGAAAAGTTATTTACTTGCTCTCATAATACAAGAACTAGAGGTCAGCAAATGAAATTAATAGGTAGCAGATTTAAAACAAAATAAGCTATTTTTTCACCTAATGCACAGTTAACCTGTGGATCTCCTTGCCAGAAGACGTTGTGAGACCAGGACTTCAAGGATGTGCCTACACTGCATCCTTACCTCAAAATAAGCGACACAGTTTGCGCTACGCGAATTGCATAGTTTATTTCGAGTTAATTTCAAAATGCTTATTTAAAAATTTGGCATTGTCTACACAGTGCCACATTTCAAAATAAAGTGCTATTCCAAAAAGTCCCGTAACCCTCGTGGAACGAGGTTTACAGGGACATTGGAATAGCGAGCCCATTACATTTCAAAATAATGGGAGTGCTCGAAAGACATGGAATAGCTATTTTGGTATACTTCCAGTGTCCCGAAATAGCTATACATTGTAGAGTTAAAAAAAGAACTATATACATTCATGGAGGACAGGTCCATCAATGGCTATTAGCCAGGATGGGCAGGAATGGTGTCCCTAGCTCCTGTTTGTCAGAGGCTGGGAATGGGTGATGAGAGAGATCACTTGATTAACTACTCTGCTTATTCCTTCTGAGGCACCTAGCGTTGGCCTCTGTCAGAAGACTTTTCATCTTTGCTTTGTGCTGGTTTCTTAGCACTTAGGCAGCTGGTTTGAACGTGTCTTTTTTTAATTCTGAAAATTGAGCATATGAACTAGATTTTCATAAATTTTCTGACCCAGTATGACCCATGTCAATACATGGCCATTCTTATGACTGTTCTGAAAAAATGACCTCTTCCAAGCCCTCAATAGTTTCCCAAACAAAGAGCCAAACAGTGTTAGTTAGGTGCTTCAAGAAGGCTTTAACATTGAGTATGGACACACTAAATTATATCGTGATTAACTACGCAAAAGTAGTAAACTGTAAAGAAGATTCTTAGTTTTATGTGACAGCAGTATTTTACCCTATCTGCAAAATTCAGAAGCCATACAAGCAGAAAGGTCCATCTAGCCCAGTTGTTCAATAAAACATTTATTTTTCTAAGTCTGAAGCTGTAGCACTTTCTCTTAAATGACGCTTGTCCTAGAAAAGTGACATTTGTGAAATGGTTTTAATTTCTTAATTCAGGCCACAGTTTGAGGATTTGCAAAAATACTCAGATTTAGGAAAGACATACTTGGTAACATTTGAAAAATGGTAAGCTGTTGATTGTATTATGTTTTGTAAACTACATACCTTTTCCATATCATCCTGTCGACACAAGGATTTTTAAATCATCTTGAAACCAAATGAATATCTTTCTTTTCCATCTTAATTGTTTCAGTAGTTGTTAAAGAACCAATTAGACAAGTTTCTTAAGGATACAGAATATCTTAAATACTTCAGATACTTTTTATTTAAGAGTAGACCATTTCAGCATAAAACCCTGCCATAAAAGGTTTCAGCATCTTTAGTGGTAAGTTCTAAAGAATGAGAAACTAGCTGTGAAAACTTTGTCTACATTAGAGAATTTACTGTGCAAACCAACATGTCGTCCCCATAGCACAACTGTAACAAACCTAGTTCTAAAGTGAATCATGACTTGCTACTGTTTTTATCAAACATACAGGACCAACAGTAAATGTTCATTGCTCATCTCTGCCTCTTTCAAAAAGTATACAGGCAGTCCCCGAGTTACGCGGATCTGACTTATGTTGGATCCGCACTTACGAATGGGGCTTTCTCGCCCCGGAGCTCGCAGGCAGCGGGACCGCCCAGAGCGCAGCGGTCCCGCCACCTCGACCTCCGGGGCGAGAAAAGCTGCTCCGGGTGCCCCTGGTCTGCTGGGGACCGTCTCCAGCAGACCAGGGACACTGGGAGCAAAGCCGGAGAGGTGGAGGGGTCCCGCGCCTCTGAGGCTTTGCCAGAGCAAAGCCGGAGAGGCGCGGCACCCCGCCGCCGCTGCGGCTTTGCTCCCCGTGTCCCTGGTCTGCTGGGGGGGGGGGGGGGCGCGGTGCCCCGGGTCTGCGGGGGACCGTCTCCAGCAGACCAGGGGCACCAGGAGCAAAGCCGCAGCCGCGGCGGGTTCCCGTGCTTCTGAGGCTTTGCTCCCCGTGTCCCTGGTCTGCTTGGGAGCGGGGGGGTGTGCAGCTAGTGTGCCCCCCCTCCCAGCAGACCAGGCTTTTGTTGTGGACCCTGGGGTAGAGCAGCTGGGGTGCTGCCGGGTTGGTCCTGCAGGGACCTACCTGGCAGCCCAGCTGTTCTGTCCCAGGCTCGAGATTCAGCCGCTGTTGAAACTGATAAGTGGCTGATTCCAGGAAGCTGGGGGCAGAGCAATTCTGCCTCCAGCTTCCTGAAGTAAGCCCCTGGTCAGTTTCAGCAGCAGCGGCTGAATCTGGAGCCAGTTCCGACTTACATACAAATTCAACTTAAGAACAAACCTATAGTCCCTATCTTGTACGTAACCCGGGGACTGCCTGTATTCTCTTTAGTAAAACTAAGTTCACAGAATGGCCATGTAAACTCACCATTCCAAATATGGACAGTATATTCCAACTATTGACTTTGGTGACTGATCTTGAAAGAAAATTATACTCCCCTGACAAAATAAACATTACATTGAAAATGAAAAGGCTGTTTCAAGGCTGAATGAAATGTCAATAGAACAGCTCCAAGCCTTGGATTTTTAATAATAGCAAAGTATAGGAAACCTACATCATGGCACTTGAAACACTTGTGACAGTGGGGGTTTACCTTGGAATTCATGTGCTGGCTGCTTTCACCCCTTCCTCTCTCCTGATCTAAGGCTACTCTGTATCCCTCTTCCTCTAGCAAACATGGAATTTATACATTTCCTGGAGCTGGTAGGAGGGGCATGTGTGTACTTCTTGCCATCTCTGTTTTCATTGTGAGGAAGTATATGTTAGAAATAGATAGGATGGTCCATGAGTGCTAATTTAAAAAAAAATATTGCTCCTCTCCTGTTACCTTCAGGATAAGAGTTTTAGTTCATTTTGAATCAGAGAGATCTTTGAAAACTAGGCTACACGAACAAGCAGGTTGTCCCAGGATATATCAGGATAGAGGCTTCCAATCCAGAAGAATGTTTGTTTCTCGGGTCTTTGAGTTCTTTTTATCCTCCAAGAAATTTTATTTTTGGACAGTATCATAAATTGGACTCTTTTCTGATTATCTCCCTTTTTTTGTTTTTTGTTTTTGATTGTGCTGGTGCTATCTGCTCTTGGGGAGGAGGTTGGTGGCTCTATAGGTCCATAATAGGGATGTTAAATTTAGATTAATGGGCTAATTGAATAGTTGATGCAATTTACATTGACTATTGGATTAGTCGATAAGGGCACCTCTGTCTTTGAAGATCTGTTGCTACACTTCAAAGGCGAAAATGCTGTGGGGAGCATGGGGCCAAGCAGGGGACTCAAGCAGTCTGCCACTGGCCCTGTGCTCCCCATGGTATTTCAAAGAGGCAGCACTGCATGGAGCCCAGGATCAACTGGGTACCTGAGCTGCACGTGGTGTTTCAAAGCGGCAGACCCCAGGCTCCCTAGCTGGCCTGGGCTTCACACTGCATTTCAAAGCAGCAGTGCCACATGGAGCTCAGGGTCTGCCCCCAGCTTCCATGTGGCACTGTCGCTTTGAAGCATCCTTTCTCTCTCCCTCCCCCCCGCCGCTGCCTCTTTCTTGGAGACAGCAAGGGGAGGAGGAAGCGACTAGTTGGCTAGTGTGTTGACTATCTGATAAGCATTTGCTTATCAGATAGTCGACTAGTTGTTCACATCCCTAGTCCATAATGCATTGTGGTTAAGGTTTGTGGAAGCAGAGTAGATGGGGGCAGGAGACCTTGGGAGGATATTTCTGTTTGTTTCTCTCTCTCTCTCTGTATGCATGAATTTGGCCCAGGTCGCTTCCCACAGTTCCCATTGGCTGGGAATGGTGGATTGCTGCCAACAGGAGATGAGAGCTGCCGTACCTGTGGATGTTCAGGTAAATAAAGCATCTGGTGGCCTGCCAGGGGCTAACCTCTGTTGCATGAATTGCCCTCCCTTGTTGCATGGAGTTTTAAGTTGTACCGACTTTGATAGTGCTTTTTATGTAACTTGTGGTTGTAAAACTAAGCAGATATCTGTGAGTTATTGTTACCCCCAGAAGACCTCTGCATACTCCCAGAGGTACAAGTACACGTGGTTGGAGAACCACTGAGTTGGAGGATGCTGATGTTGCCCTGACATCTGGGCTGTTTATAAGAGCAGTATTGTAGACAGGTAGCAATTCAATTTAAAGCTCCTGCTTACATGCAGAAACATTCCTATAATAATACCTCTCCCCCAGCAGCCCACCTTGGGAGACATTCTCTCCCTAGAGTCTGTCTTCACATGTGTATGCAGAGGATATGGGAGTGGAGAGGCAGGTGTAGAATTCAAGGAGCTGAGAGGCGCTGCAGGTTACCAGCAGCTGCTACTAAAAAGCTGTCTGGGAAGCAAATATGTAACCTGCCTTCCCTGGTATTAGTTGTCCTTTTAAGTCATGCCTGTTAACCTGTTCTCTTCTGGTAGCTGCAGCTGTCCTTGCAGACTCCTTCAATGGAGCCAGTGAGTGGCTGCAGCTGTGGGAGGAAGAAACAGGTGGAATGGCTCAAGACAGAGGATGGGCAGCACAGTGGTTGTGCTTTCTGGGCTTCTGTAATTTTCAGTGATTTAAGGGCTACTCGAATGATTTATATACTGTCTTTTAGATATTTTGTAATTTTAAAAAATTAATGGAAACATTTTCTCCTTCCTTCTTAAATAGTGATGCCCATAAGCATAATGCCAATTTAAACATGTTTAGACTTGGATTTATATTTCACTAAGGGTGCATCTATATAGCAGAGCTTAACTCAAAATAAGCTACCCAAATTGAACTACGTCAATTACGTAGCTTATTTCAAAATTGGGAGCACTACTCAACACTTACTTTGAAATAGAACATTCTTTTACTGACTTCCCTTGCTCCTTGTACAATGTGGGTTACAGGAGTTGGAGTAAGAAGTCCTCCATCTCAACATCATTTTGAAATAAGGGCGCATTTTGTTGTTTTGAAATAATGCTGCTGTGTAAACATACTCTAAATGGCTCTAGAGTAAGGATGTAGTAGTGTAGTTGATTAACTGATAAGCAAAAGCTTATAGGTTAATGCTATAGACTACACGCATTTCCCTCCCTCCACCCTTGCCAGTAAATTTTTTAGCAGGCTGGCCAGTAGTTCTGGCTTGTACCGGGTCCAGAACCTACCCCTGCTGTGGCTCTGCATTTAAAGTATATTAGGGGCCAGGTGGGCAGAACTCACACCCTCTTGCCTGGACAGGGGCTGCTGCCTTCCTGCTCTGCTACCTCTGTATCAGAGGCATCAGCACTGGGCAATAGGCAGCTGGCTCACAAGAGGAGCTGGCTTTTAAACTGGCTCTCTTGTGGACCAGCTCTTGCCTGGCACCCTGCACTGCTGCATTTGATACACTGGCTGCCGGCCCCACCCCTGGGGGACTATAGAATAGTCGACTATCCGATAAAAATTCATGAGGTTACTCGACTATTCTATTAACCAATATTTAACATTCCTACTCTAGAGGACATTGATATTAAGGTGAGAAGGGTTTATATTAAGGAAATACACTAATACTAAAAGTAGGGCCAAAAATTAAAATATGTTCTTTTCAGATATATTTGTGTTGCTAAAAGAAAATCCTCCTCTTTCCTATCTTTCAACCTCTTTGATTTAGCTTCTAGAATGGCTGAAAATATCAGGCTGACCCCTCTTCTGTCCCAAAGCACTACTCTGAGCTACTTGGAGAAGTAACCTTCATTAATAATATGAGAGCCTTTTTGTCCTATGGTTTTTATCTTGAGAAGCAGATACCCAATGCACTAGCCCTTGCAAATTTTGAGTTCGTGCTTTCTTGTACTTCAGTTCCAAGTCTGGGCATGATTCCCTGCCTCATCTCTAATTGTAAAACTAAATCTGGAAGTTTATTCGTCATACAGTGGGTTTCCTTGTCAGATGGACTTGGCATAAAGAAATCTGGTTTACAATGGGTACATCCAAATCTAATTCTGGGAGAGCCTTTAATTCCCTTATGCCTCTAGGTATGGATGTGTAGTGCAGCTTGTTTATCTATTTAGAGATCTCACAAAAAGTTTAAGGCTTGCATACTGCTCAGATCGCTACATCTGAATTCCCAAATGAGCCATTTACAAATGAGTCCTCTACTTCATCCCTTCTAACAGCCTCTGAATCCCCTATAATCTCTCCATGGAGATTTCTCTGAGTTTCCAAAGATCTCTTCCTTGCTCTTCCTCTTTTTGGAACCTTCCCCTTAATCTTTCAGCTGCTTTTGATACTGTTCACCCATCCCTCTCCTTGATATCTATGAGATGTATTAACAGGAATGCTGTAAGACACAAGAAGTAATTTTTCCACTCTACTCTACGATGATTAGGACTCAACTGGAGTATTGTGTTCTGTTCTGGGTAGGAATGTTAAGCAGGCAATTTGCTAACCGTGTAGTCGATAGAATTTATATCTACTACATGGTTAGCCCATAAGGGAAGACAGCTGAAGCGTTCAGTCCCAGCTCATGCTGTGTCCAGGACCGACCTCCGCGGTGGCTCTACATTTAAAATGTAGTAAGAGCCAGCATCCCAGCTCAGTTTCAGCTTGCGCCCAGTCCGGGACCTACCGCCTCTGTGGCTCTGCATTTAAATGCATATAGTTGATAGCAAAAGCTTATCGGTTAGTGCCAATTGACTATTACATCCCTAGTTCTGGGCACCATATTTCACGACAGATGTGAAGAAATTGGAGATGGTTCAGACAAGAACAACGAAAATTATTAAAAGTCTAGAAAATATTACCTATGGGGGAAGACTGAAAGAATTGGGTTTGTTTAGTTTGGAAAAGAAGATTGAGCCAGGATATAACAGCTTTGAAGTACCTAAAAGGGGGTTAGGAGGAGGAGGGAGCAAAAATTGTTCTCCTTGACCTCTGATGATAGGACAAGAAGCAATGAGCTTAAATTGCAGTAAGGGAGGTTTAGTTTGGACATTAGGGAAAAAACTCTCTAGCTGTCAGGGTGGTTAAACACTAGAATAAATTACCTAACATGCTCTTAAATGTCTCCAGTGATAGATATTCCATAGCCTCCCCAGGCAAACATCTGTCAGGGATGATCTAGATGGTGTTTGGTCCTGCAGGGAAGGCCAGGGATGTGTTAAATATTGGTGAATTGAATAGTCGAGTAACCTCATGAATTCTTATCGGTTAGTTGACTATTCTATAGTCCCCTTGCGGACTGGCTGCCTGTTGTCCAGTGCTGATGCCTCTAAGAGACAGCAGCACGGGGTGACAGCAACCCCTGTCTAGGGGATGTCTGAGCTCCCAGACCCGGCACAAGCTGAAAATGAACTTGGCTGCCTGTCCTTGTGGCTCCTAATACACTTCAAATGTAGAGCCACAGCGGGGGTAGGTCCCGAACCTGGCGCGAGCATGGAGGGCTGCTCTCAGTAAGGGTGATGCTTAGCAGTTAACCATTCACATCCCTACCTTCCTGAATTGATTACATTAGTATGGCAGAGTATCTTACTTGAATTAGGCAAAAGCATGGTAGCCAAAGAACAAAAGAGGGAAATGTAAGACTGTGTGTGTGTGTGTGTGTGTGTGTGTGTGTGGTGGGTTTTGTGTTTTTTTGCAAACACCTGAGCACATGAAGAAACTTATTCAGGGATGTTGTTCTAATGGCTACAAATGTATGGCCACCATTCCGTTTGTATTTTGAAAGAATGTAGTCTGTAAGGTCTTATTGCACAGCTGTGCCCAGATTGATATAAACTTCAGTGGTGGAACCCTGCTGATGCTAGTGGAGCACTCTGGGGTTAGCGTTCTGGCTTGTACACACATTTGCCAGATAGTGATAGAAATGTAGCCGTGTTAGTCTCTGAAAATGTAGTAGTTTTCAAATAGCTTTATCCAGGGCATGTCCAATCCTAGCAAAAATTAAAGGTGCATAGCCTACCCAAGTATTTTGGATTTCTTGACTTGGACTTGTGGTTGCTTGGCATACAAGTGATATAGATTGCAAATATAATAGGTCTATTTACTTATCTTGCGTTTTGAGTTTGTATGGTTCTCACAACACAGGATATTAATGAATACTTGGAACTTGTTTTTTATGAGGGTAGATGGAAAATTGTGTCAGGTTTCTCAGCATAACTTTACATTTTACATAGTTTTTTTCTACTTATGGTTGGGAAACAGGTGAAAAAAATCCACTTTAGCCATTTAGGGGCATAAAATGAGGAGAGAGATTTAAAAAATTAGCTGTCACCAAAAATGAAGTAAATAAAAGATATTTTTATTATGCACTTTGACTACACTAATGTGCAAAATAATGCTCAAAGTGGTAATCAAAAGGTCATCCCGAAGTCAAACATATTACAGTAATTGAGTCATTTAGATGGTAATGGTGTTGAAAATCATGGAAAGGTATGTATTAGACAAGAAAAGATCACGTATATCTCTTTGCTAATTCTCAAAAGGTCTTGCAGGCTTTATGTATTTTGTGGTGTTCGATCATTCAGAGCAGACCAACGCTGTTCCACAAGGAAGTATGCTTATTTCCTTCAAGCCTCACCACAAGACCATAAACTGAGAAATTGAGTTACTAACTGTATGAGTTTATAAACTTAAGTGGTTACAACCTTTATGGAAATTAGTGGATCAGTATTAATGGGCTTCATGATCTCTTCCATCCAAGAAAGTAACCTGTGCAGAGCATACTGAGACAGCTTTGTTAAAGCTTTAAAGCTTTGTAAGCAATGACACTTCCTGAACAGCTGAGGCAATTCACAGGTATGAAACAGCCCACATTGTGTTCTTATATTAGGTTACATTTTGCCACCACATTTTCAAGTTGTTTTTCACTAAAGCTGCATATTTGTTTTCTGTGCAAAGCC